CAATTTTCTGCTTCTTTTTGTAGCTAGCACTTTTCTCTTTGATCTGCTTCCCTTCGAGCTTTTTTTTTTTGTGTGTATGTGCTGGTTTTCATCTTCTAAAAAAAGTGTTTTCTCTCCCCTTTTCCTTTATTCTTTTTATTTAACTCTTTCTTCTGGGAGCAAGAGTAAGCCACAGCTTTGAGTGAACAGGTAAATGTTTTTAAAAGAGTAAGTCAAAAGGATTCTTAGCTTTCTGGTGATGAATAGAAATGGTTGAGATTCTCACTTCAAAGGCCCTCAAGAACAAAGGCTTTTTTCTTAGACCACTAACAAATCCACCAATTCCTACTGACCTATCTCTGCCGATAGAGATGAGTTAATGACAGAACAGACCAGTCTTGCAAGAGTAGCCAAGTATGCTTGGGAACAAACATATCCTTGACATAATAAGAAAAAAATACAGTTTATCTCTTTAATAACCATCTTGAGGAAAATTAATGTGACTTTGTCCTTTGTGCAGAACAGTAATTGGATTGTGTGTTTCATTTATATCTGGACAAAGGCCAGGATATTGAAATACTTCTAAATATTAGATTTTCTCTTTTAAAAATTAGATTTTATTGGCATTCTCTTTCCGAGATTTCTTCATTAAAAGCTTCATTAAACATAAATCTTCTTTTTACAAACCAGAAAACAAAATTATTTTAAAGGGGTCATTGTCTTTCTGAAGGGTGATGCTCAGCTGTCTCATTGGTGAGATGACTTTTCCCAGAGTTCTGGTATTCCAGGGATAAAACAACAATTGACTTTTGCCTACATGTGTCTATTACTCATTATACTGGCACTTGAAATTGTCTAGTAAGCAACAGAGGTCTAAATTCAAAGGTTAAAATTTTTAAAAACATCTTAATCCTTTTTCTCGGGGCTAGGAAATAGTAGATATTGAAAGCATTGGGTAAAATTCAATCCCTGAGGCCTCTATCTGTTTTAGAAGATACCAAGACCTTTTTCAAGAAGCTGAGGAAGTTTACATAGCTATTGGGCTGAAAGGCACTCAGCTCCATTAGAGTTTGTGAAAGGGCAAACAGACCTTTCTCACTAAAATGTTAGTAAAGACTGGGGGGAAATAAGATGACTACAGCAGGATGCAAGTTTCAGTCAAGTTTGTAGAAACAGGAAAGAATAATTAGAAACATGGACAAGAAGGCACAACATAGATAAATAAATAGATCAACTGTTTAATCTCTGGAATACCAGGGCTCTGGGAAAAGATATCTCATCATTGAGACTACTGGTTACCATTCAGGACCTGACACTTTCTAGCTTTATTACCTTGGGCAAGTCACTTAATTTCTGAGACTCATTTTCCTCATTTGTAAAATGGGGATGACATAGGCTTTTCTTAAAATTATAAAGCTATAATGAACCTCAAATGAAACAATATACACAATATACTTTGCAAACCTTAAAGCACTATGTAAATATGAGCTAAAATGATTATTCATTAAGGCTTTTAAAATAATTCTTTGATAAGGGGTGAAAAATATATTTTAAAAATATTTCCACCTCCTGGAGAGCAATTTGGAACTGTGCCCAAAGAGATATAAAACTATGCATACTCTTTGATCCAGCAGTACCACTGCTAGGCCTATATCCCAAAGATATCCAAAAAATGGGGAAAAGACCTATTTGTACAAAATTATTTATAGCAGCTCTTTTTGTGGTAGCTAAGAATTGGAAATCAAATGGATGCCTATCAACTGGGGAATGGCTAAACAAACTGTGGTATAGGATAATAATGGATTATTATTGCAAAATATGACAAGCAAGATGATTTCAGAAAAACCTGGGAAAGACCTACATGAACTGATGCATAGTGAAGTGAACAGAACCAGGAGAACATTGTGCACAATAACAACAATATTGTATGATGAAGAACTGCGAATACTTAGGTTTTCTCAGCAATACGATGATCCAAGACAATCTCAAAGGACGCATGATGAAGCGTACTATCTGCTTCCAGAGAAAGAAATGATAATTGTTTGAATACAGACTGAAGTATGCTATTTTTCACTTACTTTCATTTTTTTATTTGAGTTTTCTTGTACAAAATGACTAATATGGAAATGTTTTTACATGATTGCACATGTATGACCTATATCTGGTTGCTTACTATCCCAGGGGGGGAGGGAGAGATAGAATTTGTAGCTCAGAACTTTAAATAAAAATGTAAAAAAAAAACCATTTCCAGTTTTCATGTGCTTCCTATTAAAGTGAACACAGCATTTTAAAGCTAATAGGGGCTACAATAAGTGTCAACTCTTTGTTATCAAAACCCTTGGTTAGGAAGAGAAGCACACTTAATCCTAAATAGTAACTACTTTCAAAAATTATATTTGGCTTTTAAATGCACTTTTATACTTCTAAGTGAAAATCTGAGGTTCTAGGACCATGCTTCAGGCAAAGTAATGGAGCTGAACAATAAAGAGCTTACCCAGAAAAGACTGGAATGCTTCTTCAATCTTTTCTGTTCCTCTTTCCTGTTGTCTACCTCATGCTGGAGTTAGACAAAAATGCATCTTAGCAACCATATAAAACAATAGCTTGGACAGGGCTCATAGTCCATCATTGGTTCTCTCTCTCTCTGTCTCTGTTTCTGTCTCTGTCTCTCTCTGTCTCTATGTCTTTGTCTCGGTCTCTCTGTCTCTCTCTGTTTTTCTCTTGGCCTCTGTCTCTCTATGTCTCTCTGTCTCTGTCTCTCTCTGTCTCTCTTCCTCTGTCTCTCTGTCCTCTCTCTCTCTCTGTATCTCTCTGTCTCTGTCTCTATCTCTTTGTCTCTGTCTCTCTCTCTCTCTCCTCTTTAGGTTCCTGGTTCACACCTTTCCTGGGCAGGGAAATAATGAAATGTTTTTGTTTTAAGAGACTTCCCTACTGTGCTGCAGGCTATATGTAAGATAAGTTAGCAGAGATAATGTAAGATGTCAATAAGTGGCATTTCTAAGAGGTGTAGGTGATAATATCAACATGAATTCTAAGCCAAGAATTTTATGTGGAGAAAAGAAAAAAGTCAAAAGCCTACGGTGTCAAAAACCCACTTGTGGATAATTGAGAGGTGACTACAAAATGCTTCTGAAAATGATTGTTTTTTCTGACTAAAAGTTGAAAATAACAAAAGTAGAAGCCTGCCGTACCATTGTAAAGTGGCATTATTATGCTAGTTTTTTCCACCCCTATTCCTTCTATAGAAACTACATACTAAACAACCATTGCACAGTTAGAACCTATTTATCTTCCCTCCAAGATGGCCCCTGTGCCCCTCTTCCCCATTGCTTGTCAGCACCATCACCTCTGTTCTTCCACATCAGCAACCTCTGAGTAATCTTCCACTTATTTCTGTTCTTTACTAACACCTGATTAGCTATAAATTCTGACACTGATTTCTCCACATCTCCTTTATCAGCCCCCTTTCAACTCTATTCCCACTGTGATTGCATTAGGCCAGTTAACTTACTTGACAGCTCTCAACTGAGGAATCACAAATTCTATTTGGACAAATTTTCCACTTTAACCACTGTTCCTCTATAGTGCATCATCATCACAACTACTAAAATAGTCTTTTTAACTTACCGCTTTGGCCAGACTCACCTCTGCCCCTCAAAGGTTGAAGAGGCTTTAAGGCTTAACTTGCCTTGTCTGTAAAATGAGGGGCTCTGAGGAAAGGACATTCAAAATTCTCTTTAGTAATAAATCCCGTATCTATGAATATCTTTACCTTTCCCATAGGATACTCCTCTTTCTCACTGTAGCCTAGATTCTACCCTGTGACTCTATTTTATTAGCAAAGGCTTTGTTATTGCTGAATTTCTGCCTGGTCTTTTGATACCTTTTCTTTGTCCCTTCACAACCATCCAAAGTATTTCTCATCCATCATGAACTCTAAATAATTATTGAAATTCTCTATGGAGCTTTCTTAAATTGATTAGAAAAGAGTTGACTGCTTCCCTCTACCCTGAATTTTTAAGGTGCTTTTCAGCTTTTAAAACAAGACTATCCAGTTTGCGCATGGTACTATCAAGGTTCTTTTTTCCCCTGTTCAACTGGTTCAAATGCTGTCTCTGGTATTTCCTATTGGTCTGACGTTAGACAAGTCACCTTACCTCCCTGGTCTTCATTTTCCTTCCTTGCAAAATGAAAGAGATGGACTAGAGGTTTCTTCCAGCTCTATGATCTTATGATCCTTTGAACTGTATACTCCTACTCTAATTAAATTAACTTTCCATTGACTTTATGTGATAGTATACTGTGCATTCCTGTATTACCTTAATGGCTTTATATTAGTGATGGAACATCATACTATGGAAAGGGGTTAGTATCAATGGGTCTACAGTAGGGTCTAGTTGTCTCTTTGCATTGCACCTACCATAACATCATATACAATTAAGACATGGAATAAATACTTTTTGATGATGATGATGATGATAAAAATGACAATGAGGTCAATGACAACAACATGGTAAAACTAGGATGAGTTTAATAAAGAAAATTTGGCTCTATGGATTGGATTTACTACTAACTTAGCAGCAAAACCTTTAATAGTTTCTTTGGAAAATACTACATAATTACCTGCCAGGTCTGTTTACTCTGGAAAGGGATTTTTCATGAAAGTTCTGGTCATATGCTTGATTATGAAAACTAGTTAATTTCTTAGAACAATTGGGAACTTCAGAGCATAATACTTTTATTAAAAAAAAAACACCTTATCCAATAATATACACCAAATGATTCAGAATTTCTGACTCACGCTGCTTAAACAACAGTGACCAAGCTGAGAGTGTCAAATGATGACCTATAATTTCTTGTTTGATACTAAGACTTTTCAAGCAAGAATCTCCAGTTATGTTTTCAGTCCAACAAAAATGAATTCTCCAATTGAATAATTAAGGAAAATTGTATTCACTGGAGAATTCTTGAAGATATGTGCAGGAAAAGAAAAAAAGTTGCAATCAGTGAACTAACCTTACCTGGGGTGGTTGTAAGCCAGTTGTCTGAACTCATTGTTCCAGTTAGGTCTTCCATAGAATGTCTTCTGCTTTAGACCCGTAATTATATCAGTATTTTCATCCCAATGTAAAGCTATGTGGGCAGCCTAAAGTTAAAAATCATAGAATGATATTATTATTTGGATAAACAATGAAAGGCTCCTAAGTATAATGTAAAGTTAGAGGATTGTTGATTTAATGCATTGCATGGGGTCATAGAACTCAGACACCACTCAGCCCAACCCTTTTATTTTTCAGTCAAGGAAATTGAGGCCTAGGGAGATTCAGTGACTTGTCCAGGGTTACAGATGTACAGATGGTGCATTTCAGAAACAGGATTTAAACATAGGTCCTCTGACTACATACCCAGTACCCCTTCCATTGTAGTATGTTTCAAAATGAGATTAAAAAGACTTAATCATTATTAGACATTCTCATGGCAGGGGCAGGGAGGGGAGACAGTCAGAGCTAAGTGGAAGTAAGCAGTAAAAGTTTCACTGTTAAATGGCTCAAATGAATGTTCCACATTCCCTCTCTCTATTTCCTCACAATCCATTCACTCAACTCCTTGCAATCTAACTCCCATACCAACCACTACCGAAACTGCATACTTCTAATCAACATATCTGAATAGACTTCTCTAAATCATTGAACATTATTGATCACTCCTTTCTTCTTGAAACTCACTCTCATGGCCCCATTATCCTGGTTCTTATCCTTCCATTCCTCTAGCTTTTCTGTTTTCTTCTGCTTTCTAAATACCAATATTCTCTAAGGCTTCTTCCAGGACTACCTGATCTCATTCTCTCAATAGACTTCCTCCTTCAGAGATTCCATCCATTCTAGCTGTATCTATCATAAACATGTCTTCCAAAACTTTCTCCCTAGATTAGACAGCTCTCTTAACCTCTAATCCTGTATCTCTACATGCTGGACATTTGCCCTTTATTATCTCATTCTCAGTTCAAATCCATCAACATGTCTAAAATGGAACTCATCTTTTCCCCTCAAAGCCAACTTCCTTTCTTGACTCCCCTTTTTCTGTCAGTGCCCTCAGTCGTTCAAGTTTGAAACTTGAGAATCATCTTTGACCTTTTTCTCTTCTTCTTCACCTCAGGCTGTGATACTTCTGTCTTAATATTTCTTATGCCCATTATCTTCTTTCTATTCTCACTGACACCACCCTGGTTCAGTTCCTCATCACCTTGTGCCTGTGGGTTCCTAAGTAATGTTCTTCCTCCCATTTCTTCCTCCACCAACTTGTCCTTTAGGCTGTCATTCAGCAAACCTTTCTGAAACATTTCTTTCATCATATTATTACCATGTGTAAAATCTTCAAATTAACTCCACCGTTCACAAGGCAAAAGTCAAATACTTGTTATTCAAGGCCCCTCAAAATCTACTTTTCAACTTCTTCTTCCAAATTTATCACTAATTATTCTCCAGCATAACTTTTTGTTTTAATCAGATTGGTTTACTCTGTTCTTCCCGAAATTTACCTTGTACAATCTTATACACACAATTCTCCTTGTTAAATACTTCTCTCTGCTACTCTAGTACGCTCCTGTGAATACTATCCATCTTTAAAGGTTCTGCTCAACACCTGTCTTCCCTGTGAAGGCTTCCCTAATCAGTCTAGAACATAATGTTCTCCTTCTTTTCGTCTATATTGCTTATCATGCTCACTTGGCACTTGTGTCTCACCACCGTCATGGCAATCCCTTGTATAAAATCCAAATAGACAATGGATTTCCCATTGACAGAGACGTTCTACAGATGCTTCTGAATTCCTTTGACATTATGGTGATTGCACTGAGATCCATGGCCGTTTAAATGAGATTAGCCTTGCCTTCCAAAAAGGAGAAAAAAATGAGTATTTTCTAAATTATGGCCTATCGTGGTAAAGTAAATAGAATGGTATTTAAATAAATATTATTTATATCAATACCATGAATACAATAGTATTTGTATTTGTCAATTTGTATTTGTTGATTGTTTTCGGCGATCAGGGTGTGTATATCTAGAACAGGCACAGGGAGCTTGGCCCAGAATTGAGTGGGAGGAGGTTGCCATGAATTACATTTGGAAAATTGTGCAGTGATTTTGAAAATGCTGAGCTTCTTGTTTTATTTTTTAATACCAACATTCTCAAGTGATGTAATGTAGCTGTATATAATGAAATACAATAATTTCAGATAAATTACAGAAAAGACAGTCAACAAAAAATTATTAACTGCTTTCTATAGGCCAGGAATATGCTCTTTGTTAACAGGGATTGCTTCATTCATTTTATTTGTATTTCTAGCACCTAGCACAATAGCTGGCACATAACAGGTAAATGCTTAACAAACACTTGATTGATTGATAGAAATAAAGGCAAAAATGGACTCTGCCCTCAAGGAGCTGGCATTTGAATAGAGAAGACAACTTGCAAATAAATAAATATATTCATCACACATACAGAGTAGATGGAAAATAACCTTAGAGGGGAAAGCTCTAACAGTTGGAAAACAAAAACAAATACAAAAACAATGGAAAGGTTCATGATGGGTATAGGAAGATTGCAGCAGGCTAGCAACAGTGTTTTTCATGTGAGAAATTATTTAAAAACACCATCAAAGAAACTCCAATACCTCCAAATATAAAAACACCAAATTCTCAAAATGAAATTAACTCAGCTTAACTTGAATATTGCAAATAAGCTTTTGCTGTTTAGCCCAGACAGTTGATTGTAGTGTCAGAAAGTCAAAGTAAGGACTTTGGCTGATCACATATAGAGAATTAGGAATAAAGGATTTACAGTTTCAGTGTCTAATCAATAAATCAATAAGCATTTGCACTGGTATACACACAATATTAAAAGAATCAGAGGAGGTCTCCAAGATGTCTGGTGGATCTATAGAGATTAGTGGATGATGCAAATAAGAATTGCATAGCATGAGAATGTATAAATGAGTTATAATCTGCATCCTACTTAAGGGAGTACCCAGGCCATCAAGCTAAATGATCAAAGAAGTCCACTGACATGTATGACCTTACATTTTTTTCTTATCTTTTTTGTGTGTGTATACATCTTATTCCAACTAGGTTTTTTAAATTACTCAAGGACAGGATCATGCCATATTATTCCTCATGGTATCTAGTGAAATGCCTTGTTTATAGCAGGTCCTCAATAAATATCAGGAGAGAGCTGTTTAAAAAATGAAGAGAAAATTTGAGATATAGATAAGAAGGTATATTTTGTAATGACTAGTTGCATTTGGTCAAACATTTGGGTTGTTTTATTTTATTTTATTTTTTTTTACTAAAGCAAAAACAAGAACTATTTTTATCTTTCTTTATATCCACAGCATTTAGTTCAGTGCCTAGAACATAGTAAGCATATAATAAATGCTTGTTGACAGTCTGAATTCACTATATAACTTAGCTGGCTAGTCAACTGAGTCAAAACGTCCAATTTAGCTTAGCAGACATATCCCTAGGTATGTGTGTGTGTGTGTATGTGTATAGGTGCATATATATATATATATTTAATTTAAAGGCAATTGTAAAGGATGCTTATTTTAAAATTGTTCAGTGGATGAATTAATACTGTGGATTGGTAATTTTCAAAACCTTTTCATGATTTTTGTATATGATTCTAATTTGTTACCAACAAGTCAATAAAAAGGTTGAGCTCAGTTAAACAATCTAAATTCATGGTTGTTTGACTTAGTAAAACCAGTTTCCATCCTGTCTACCATGCCCCAACCTTGTGTCAACCTAAGTTGCTTCCAATTTTATCAAGAATAAAAATGATCAAAACTTAATAATTTTAATTCACAGGAATACGGAAAACAAACATTTACCACATGGCCATATTGTACTTTTGTAAGGGCTCTAGTAGTAGTGTCAAAAAATCAATTGATGAGATACTGTCACGATTCCAAAATAGTTGTTACTGTTAGACACAACTCCAATGTATTTAACTCCTAAAATCAATCAGTTGCAGATGTAGAATAGCGAGGCATTGAAAAGAACCAATTCCTAACCTATAGATTGTGGGTAGCTGCGAAAGGGGAAGTTAACAATGATTTATTGTGAGAGGTCCATCAATCCAATCCATGTATACACCAAGAGTTACTATTGTATTTTATCAATGAATAGAAATGAATAGTTCAACTACTGTCTTGTGGCAATGTATTAATTTAACATTAAAATCTTGTCATCATATTATAAAATGGTTTAGGATTACTACTATGAGCATAAAGAGCAAAGTCATGTCTATACTAATCTCTACCAAGAAGAGTCCTTATGTACCATGAGCTGTTATTGTATGAGTGGCAGCCTGGTATTCTGGAAATAGCAAAATACTTGGAGTCAAAGGGACGGGTTTTAGTTCCAGCTCATCTATTTAGTCACTGTGTGAGCTTAGGCGGGTTACTTTCCCTTTCTGGGTCTCAGTCCCTCATTTATAAAATAAGATTAATAGTATTTGCACTGCCTATCTCACAGGGATTTTGTGAGAATCAAATGAGTTAATTATGTATGTAAAGCAGTGACTATGTAATTGTAAAGAACTCGACAAATATGAAGGAGCTATATTATTGATCAAAAATCCCATTTATTCACATGCCACTTAAATGAAGGAGAAAAACTGTTTAGAAAATGTAGTTAACATTATTTAACTCATCTCTAAGTGTGAAATTTGGCTTCCAATGAAATCTAACTTCAACATAATGCCAAGGAATCAAGATATTTAACTAGTGTTGCAAACAGACCATAAAAATTCATTTAGCTGTAGACCAGCAAGCAAACCTTCATTCATTTGCAGAAGCATAGAGCCAAATTAAAGTGTTGCTCTGCAGGGCCAAACCAAGAGAGAGATGGAGAATCCATTTGCAAATGCAGTTATTAATGCAAATCTCCTTGGGTCTAACACACTTTACTTGGAAGTAAATATCAATACCACCTGCTGCAAAATACTGGTTGGAATAGCACAATCCATAATCTAGTAATTGGTTCATTGATAAGTCCCATTTAAAGAGAAAAAAAACCAAAGTTTTATGATATAATATTCCTTATTCAGCATTACCAACACTAAAAGACCATTATTGAAATAAAACCTTATATCATCTTTTGGCATCTATCCTGTTTAGTAAAAATCAAGACCTAGCACTTTACAAATATATACAACACAGAATTTACCTTCCTTTTTTTTTTTAAAGATTATTAACACATACAATTTATAAGAATTCTAAAAAGAGAGAATCCTCAATAGACTTTTCAATTAATTGAGTGCTTTTAATTATTCTTTGTTGAAGCTCTCACAGTTTGCAATACATATCTTAGAAGGTAAGCCTTTGGGAGTTTCCCACTGAAATCTATATAGTTAGCTTCCTATAACTATATAGTTATTGCTATGCTCTCAAAAGGTGCTTAGAAAATTGGCAACAGTCCATTAGGAACATAGGGTCCAGTGTGTTTCTTGAAGTGAACAATGTAACCTCATGTGATAAATTTGATCCCATGTTACCAAAGTCGCTACTGCATTGAGCAACATTTTTCTTCTTGGGGAGTGTTTTCTGTAATCTTCCTTTACTTTTTCCTATTTCTAAGCAATGTGAGTTGTAAACTGTAGAATTCTCATAGTTCTAGTGTTTCTCTTATCACCTACCTTGTGTTTCTCTCTTCTTTTAAAAAAATGGCAATTATCTTTTAATGTCTTCAGATAATTATGCCGATACAGTCATGCTTTGTCTGGAACTGTCATTTTATCCTAATGACCTCCACCAAGGCAGATGAGCATCTGTTCTTCAGCTTCTCATCTTAGAGAGTTGCTTGAAGTACTGAAAGGTTGAAGATAGCTAGGTAGCTCAGTGGATAGAGTACTGAACCTGGAGTCAGGAAGACCTGAGTTCACACCTGGCCTCAGACACTTACTAGCTGTGTGACCCTGGGCAAATCGCTTAACCTCTGTTTGCCTTAATCCCCTGAAGAAGAAAGTGGCAAACCACTCTGGTATCTTTGCCAAGAAAACTTATGGACAGTATTGACATGCTGTGGTCCACAGGATCATGAAGAGTTGGACACAAATGAACAATTGAGAGGTGTCTTGCCCAGAGTCATGCAGCCAATATGTGTAAGATGCAGAATTTGAACCTAAGTCTGTGGCTCTCTACTTTTTTGCCATATTATCTCTCTGTATATTTCTTTTTTTTTTTTTAGATTATCAAGAAAATCAAGTAGGCATACTCAGTTTCAGGTAGGAGTGTACTGGAGTCAGCTCAAACCACCTCGCCCCATTTATTAAATTTTCAATGTGAGTGCTTACACGTTGGAAATAGGCAAACACTACAAATCAGGGTTTGATTTGTTATTTTGTTGATTGTCCAGACTCGAAAAAGTGTTGAAGAAAATGTTAATAATGGAGATTAAACTTAAAACTTTGTGTTCATTTCCCCCCCAGAGAACTGGTTATTAAATATTTACCAGCACACCACTGGTTTCAGGGTTTCATTAATACCTGATTTTCATCCCATCCAGTAAGAAATATATGATAACTCAGAAAATTGGTTTTCCCCTTCTCAGTCATCTGAGTTTCCAGCAAAAACAAAAGATCAGCAAACCACTCAAAGGCACACGGAGCTCTGCAAATCCAGTAGAAATAAACCTGTCAGGAAAAAAGGCAGGGAATTGGACAGGGAAGTCTTTTCATAATGCTCTTAGTAATTATCTATGCCTGTAGCAGCAAACATATCCTTCTGTTCACATTTAGTCCACATTGGGATGTTTTGAAAATAATATGCTTCTCTGTGCCAATGTAGAAACAATCTCAGTGTGTCTGAATGCCTTTAGAAAAAAAAAATACTTTTCCTTTGAAAAAGCCAAGAATGAATTCAAGGAATGCCTAGGATTTGGGCTTTTACTAAGGTCTCTACATGAGGATCAATTCACTAAATTCAATCCTGTGCTTTTCCTGAACAAAGATTAATAATCATAACAAACTATGCAATGGCTTTGCAATGTTCCCAGATGGGGATAAAGCATTACACTGACTACCTTCATCTTTACTTATGACTTAAGCTCAGGATTTGAACTCAGTGCTCCAAAGAATCCCTACAGCTTGTGTATTAATCCACTTCACCAGCCAGATCCCTGAGAGAGCAGAGGTTATGATAATTGCAGCTGCGAGCCTCAATGGGCTGCATTTTCCCCTTAGCCAGACATAATCAGCATCCATGAAATCTAGTGGGTGGTGTATGTGCATGCATGTCTACTGCCATAATGCAACTCTCATCGTGGAAAGGTTTTTCTTTTTTCTTTTTTCTTTTTGCTATTTTTTTTAAAACTGTAGGCAAAACCTCTCTGTTCAGTAAATGCCCTGGAACAAAATGTAGCATCAATTTGCTGAAGTAAATGTTTAGTTTTTTTGTTATTAGTTTCAGATGAGCACAGCCTAAAGAGACACTGAGATATTGATTCCCTTCCCCATCTCCTTTATACGTACACTTTCTCTTGGCTCAGGTGCCTATCTTTTCAGTATCAACATTTTGGGATTGGAGGATCCCTGGACTTGAAGTAAGAAGACAGCTCTGAGTTCTGACTCTGGGTTAGTCACTTAGCCACTTGGAGCCTCAGTTTTCTCATTTGTAAAATTCAGATGATAAGACTGTGCTGGGATTGTAAAGCTCAAATTATGTGAAGTTACTTTGTAATTGTAGAGCCCTATATAATATAAACTACTCTTTATCTTAAAAATATCTGGAGAAGACTTAGCTATTATATCCTTTCTTGATAAAAGAAATGACATTCTTTTAGATCAGTGTCAAACCTAGTCACACCCATTAGAATGTAGTTTCATTTCTTTTTGGTTTTGCCCTCAGTAGAAGCAGAAAATAACTCCAATATTAAGTGTATGAAATGCTCACTCAGGTGCTCTCTTTTTCGCAAGTTTTATTATGTTAGCTGACACCCTGTTTATGGTGGCATTTTATCTTATACACAATGGTCATCACTTTGTGAATTATTATTCTTTATTTTTTCACTCTGTAGAGGGTGTAATTTTTAAAAGAAATTAAGTCTAGGTTTTTCTAATACAGCTCCAACTAGAAACTAAGTGCCCTCCTATTAGAGAAAAGCTAAATAAATTATGGCATAAGAATGTAATAAAATATTATTTTGCTGTAAGATGATGAAATGGTGAAATGAAATGGTGAAACAGTTTGAAAGGAAACTAGTGAGACCCTATGAACTGATGCAAATAGAAGTGAAGAAAAGTAGTAGAACAATTTATAAAATGAAAACTTCTTAGAGATAGACATCTTTAAAACACTTTAGAATGATAATTAATATGATGATAAACCAAGTGTCCAGAGCACTGAAAATGAAACACAGCTCTTACCTGCTGTAAGAGAGGTGATGGATTTAAAATGTAGAATTGGACATAGTCAATGTGAGAATTTAATTTGCTGGATTGTGCTATTTGTTATAAGGGTTTTACATATTTTTTGAGACAATGGGGGCTAAGTGACTTGCCCGGGGTCACACAGCTAGCTAGTAAGTGTCTGGGGCAGGATTTGAACTCAGGTCCTCCTGAATGCAGAACTGGTGCTCTATCCTCTGTGCCACCTAGCTGTTCCTATTATTTCTTTTCTAAAAATGTTTAGTGGGGAGGAAAGGGACAGAGATATAAATAAATGCTTATAAAATAAGTAAATAAAAACATTTAAAAGGAAGTTGGGAGGAATGATTTTTTAAATCTAAAGAAAGAAAGTCTAGAATGGCAAGTTGAACCATTGCTTTATATAGCACCAATAAAATAGAAAGAACCCTTGGGTATAGTGAAAAGAGCACCAAATTTGGAGTCAGAAGACCTGAATTCAAATCTTGATGTTGCCTCCAGATACTTCTGCAACTTCCTCTAATTACTTTTTTTGAGCTTCTCTTTTCGTTGTGTGAAAAATGAAAGGGTTGGACCAAATGATCTCTAAAGTTTCTTTCAGCTTTGAATCCTATGATACTAAGAATGAGCCAAGAGACGTAAACACTTCAAATACTGTCCTAATCTTCTTTACTTAAAAAATACTGCAGCTCTTCCAAGATATTAAGTCATATCAACTTTTTTCTCCCAAATAGAATTAATTTTTATTTTTTTGTGGCTTAACCATTGTGTGTGTGTGTGTGTGTGTGTGTGTGTGTGTGTGTGTGTGTGTGTCCCTAGGGTCCTCCAACCCTTTTTATTTTCTTTGCCTCCTTGCAATAGCTTCCTGTTTCTTCTTCTGTAAATAAGTGATGCAAAGCCGTCTGGGTGATGTTTGAGCTTGTTCAGTTCAAGAGGCAATGGAAAAAATTGAACAGACTCAGCAGAAGTGCTTCAGGCAGGAAAGGAAAAGTTGGATGTAGGAAAAGGGTATTTTTTTGATTCTTTTAAATCTCTTCAGTGGATAGGCAAAGCCAAGTCTGAAGAGGGATAATTGTTTTATAATACCTCCACATTTTGTCCTGTATAATGCTCCACCAATAATGGATTGAGGACATATGTATGTGTATACATAAATCTGTGATCTGTGACTTTTAAACTCCAATTTTTTTTAATAAACACAAAATCTGATCTGTAGGTAAAAAAAACCAAAAGAATTCAGTGACATCACAGTTCAGAGATATTTGGTATGCATATGGAAGAGTAGACTGCTAATCTAAAATTAGTATCAGTAAAATATCAGTAAAATAATGAGGGACATTGACATTTCAAAGGAATGACTCCATAGAAATTGGATTCTTAGTGTAGGTATTTCAAAACTACAGATTCAAATGCTACCTCCTATTGGAAGTCTTCCCTGATTACCCTGGTGGGTGACAATCCAAGCCTTCCACCCTCACACAGTAATTTGTTTTTTGACTTACTAAATGATTATATCATATAATTATTGTGGAACAACTAGGCAGGCGCTTCTGGAATCAGGAAGATCTGAGTTCAAATGTGACTTCAGACACTTATAAGCAGTGTAACCCTGGGAATTTCACTTAACTTCTGCTTACCTCAGTATCTTCATCTGTAAAATGAAGAAAATAATAATATCTAACTCCCATGGTTATTGTGAGGATCAAATGAGATAATAATTATAAAGTGCTTAGCATAGTACCTGGCAGGTAGTATGTGATACATAAATGTTAGCCATTATTGTTTTTATTACAGCTGTATGTGCTTATGTCGTATCCTCTTACTAAATAATAAGCTTCTTGAGGGCTGGCCTATTTCTTATCGATATTTTCAATATTTTCCAGTGATTTCATAGTATTTTTGTGTACCATTTGCAATTAATAAATTATTATGATGAAATAAATTAATATGATATAACATATAAAATGTGATTTAACCATATAATATGACAAAATATGATATTATATCATGTTATATTATATCATACTATACCATACCATATTATTTCATGTCATATTATGATATTGTATTACTTTATATTATATCAAAGGGGAGAAAGAAGGATTTGGGGGAGGAAAAGTAGAAAGGAGAAGAAAGTAAGGTGAAGAAGAAAAAATAGAAAGGGGTGAGGAAGAGAAGGAAGGGGCTAATTTCCTCACCCAAGACTTCCCAATAGCAATGAAATCTTAGGTTCAGTTCCTATTATGATCTTATAAATATAATTTTATGTTATGTTATGATATGTATTGTATTATATATGAATATCTGTGATCTTCTAAGTTAATTCCTTAGAACTGCAGGTGTTTTGGAAGCCTTATTCAAGTCTTCCTGGATTCAGGTCACTGTGAGCCTTAGATATCTCATTATTTCTGTAATAGTCTGTAAGTGACAACTGTATGCCTCCTGCATCAGCCGTGTTTAATTGAACCAATAGGCTCTTTCTAGTTTTAAGTAAAGAGAAGGAACATTCTTTTTGTACTTGTTTGCTGATGATTCCAAATGGCTATTTATTGGGCAAGGGATACATACAGTAACAACATTCCATTTCTGTCTCTCTTCCTCTCCCCTTTCCCAAGTCCACAAACTCCTGAACCCTGGAGTATTCAGTAGCAAAAATTTTGGCATCAACTAGGAAATGACTAAGGGTCATTCCCAACTATCACCAGTCTAATAACCCCCTAGCTTTCAGTTGGGACAACCTAATGTACATGTAGGTCTGAGCTTTTTCATAGTAAGCATAATGGGTTAGCATAAATACTTTGATTAATATCATCACCAGACATTGGCACAGTAGGGATCAGATGTTACAATACAGGCTATACCAATTGCAGCTGGAGAACCAAGGAACATAGTGTATGGGTTCTCTGAACAATCCCAGAGATGTGAACTGGGGTCAGACACAAAATAATTCAAATACTCAAAATAGTGGCTTAGTGCAAATAGAGGTCCATATTGTATGCTAATGAGACCCTCTGGATTGATGGTTACCCCAGATATCACTTAACAGGACTTAAGTCAATATTGTTGTTCAGTCATTTCAGTTGTATCTGACTTCATGACAGCATTTGGAGTTTTCTTGACAAAGAAGCTGGAGTGGTTTCCAATTTCCCTCTCTGGCTCATTTTACAGATGAGAAAACTGAGGCAAACAGGGTTGAGTGACTTGCCTAGGGTCACACAGCCAGTAGGTTTCTGAGGCCAAGTTCAAACTCAGTTCTTCCTGATTCCAGG